GCTCGCGGTATACTGAGACGCCGCAGCTGAAGCGGATCCCGACAATTATGTCTGGATCCGCCCAGCTGCGTGAGTGACAGCTGGCTCTGCCTATCTAGAGGCAGAGCCAGCTGTACCCGCCCCCTTCCCCGTCCGTTCCGCCAGTCAGCTCTGGCGGATCGGAGCGGGGAGGGGGGAATCCAGCCCCTCCCCTGTCACGGCAGAGAGCTGTGACAGGATCGAGAGGTGAGCGTACGCCGGTATGTGTTCGCTCACTTCCCGATCTACTGAGCCGACCTGTGACAGTCTCATTGCCACGGGTCGGCTAGAACTATGAGGTGAGTGAAAAGCACTCACCTCATAGTTCTCCTTTAATCATTCCCTCTAAAAGTTTACAAACTGCCGATGTAAGACTAACTGGTCTGTAATTCCCAGGTTGGCATCTTGCCCCCTTTTTGAATATTGGAACTATCGTAGCCCTCCGCCAGTCACTCGGAACTCTACCAGTCATTAGAGAGTCCTTAAGAATGAGGAATAATGGTCTTGTTATAATCTCGCTTAGTTCCTTAAGTATCTTGGGGTGCAGGTTATCTGGTCCCAATGCTTTATTTGCATTAAGTAGATTAAGTCTTTGTTGTATCCCGGTTTCCGTCCACCACTTGGCTATAGTTTGTGATGAACTATGTGTTTTATCATGGACGTCAAACCCGTTTCCCTCCTGAGTGTATACTGAGGAGAAAAAAGTGTTCAGCACCTCGGCCCTCTCCTTGTCATTTGTGACTAGCTTCCCGATTTCGTCCTTTATTGGGCCTATCTGCTCCTTTCTCCCCTTTATACTGTTTATGTATTGTTAAAAATGTTGTTGTTTTTTTTACTATCTGTGGCAATATGCTTTTCACACGCTATTTTAGCTTCCCGTATTACTAGTTTACATCTTTTATTACATTCTTTGTAGTTATGGAACGCCAATGCCGTCCCCTCCATCTTATATTTTATAAATACCACTCGCTTTTCCTTTATGTGATGCTTTACATTTTTATTTAACCATACAGGCTTTGTTTGTGATCTTTTACTTTTATTACCCAACGGTATACACTTGGCAATGGCAATATGTAAAGTGTTCTTAAAACATTCCCACTTTTGGTCTGAGTTTTGGTCCGTAGATACATTTGTGGAATGCTATATAGTTTATTTCATATATTTTAAACAAGATTTATGTGTAATGTTTTTCGCACTGTATATAATACGCATAATATGCATACATTTTGATACCGCCCGAATCTAAAGACGTAATATGTAAAGTAAATATAATAAAGACTCTGTATCTGTGAAATAAACATTGCACAATGCCCAGCTTTGTCAAAACAATGGTGCCATTCATTTTACTGGCACTTCGCACTCAGCTGTTGAGGAAAGGCTGAATACTAGATTTCCATAATGAATTCTTTTGAAAATCTTTTTCTGCAGAGCTGTATTAGCTATATGTTCTTCCTTTGTGATAAGTAGGGAAGCCAAGAAACATTTAATCAAAAAAATATCTCTACACATCGAAAGGCAGCGCATCAAGTATGCAAAGTTGAGTCTGCTTCTCTTTAGCAACATACTGCATTCTATCAGGTAAAAAAAAAAAAAAAAAAATTATACCATTGGACTTAAAGTGAAACTGTGGGCAAAATCAAAGTTGACATCTTTGCTGCAGTCTGCCAATAGCATTAACATGGTGTTTTTTTTTCTTTTCGGAGTCCCCCCTTTTTATCCTGGCATTACCTAAATATACCAGGCAATTTTTTTGCCCTCCCCTGCTACATTGAAACATTGACTGTGTAGCACAGAATGATAAGCAAGAAGATGAAGTCCCCTCCAGAGGCAAAGCCCCGCTGTATCCATCTTAAAGCAGTTATGGATTCATTATGAAAAAACAGGTAGCTTTAGCACTGTTGTAATCTTTCTTGGTTTACAGAAGCAGTTTACTGGAATGTTGTTACTTTCTATGCAGTGTTTAGATGTCATCCTGGGTGGAGTGGATTACGATGAAGGTCGAGTCAATGAGTGGATGTCTGCTGTAGTGGAACAGTCACTAACCCATCTAGTAAAGTTGGAAAAAACCTTTAAGTATATTGGTAAGTTAAATGTTACTATAATGTTGAATCTTCTTACTCTTCATGAGGTGCGTTATGATCTTGCAAAATATACATGTTGTAAAAATAGCTTCCATGTAGTGAAAAAGGTTAGTATTTACCTCCCCTTTACCACCAGAGTCTACTGTCTTCAAGTACCTGGTTTCAAAATCTTCAATAGCTGACAATTCTTGGAATGTGGGATACTTGGTCTCCCTCTGAATTCTGTGGTTCCTTCTGCTGACCCCTGCGTCAATACACAATAGTGACGTAGGAGCCAGTAGCATGTAACGGTGGAGCTAGGTATTTGACACTCCTGGAAGTGAAATGGAGGTCTTCAATGGGCTGGGCACCTGCGGCATATACACTTTAACTAGTGTAAGTACCTGAATTTGACTTGATGGTTTAAACCCGCTGTACAGCAGCACTCGAAAACTAGACTAGAGAAGACTAGAAAAAGAGTGGGGCAGGGATTACAGGGAACATGCCCTTTGTCTAGGGGTATTGTGTAAAGGACTTTTACTTACCTGATCCTCACTCCTCCTGGCTCCAAGACCAGCGACTGCAGCCTCTTTTCCCTTGTGCACCAGCTGTCGGAGGCCCAAAGCCCTGCATTATACGTGAGGACACCAAGGGATGATGATAGGGGAGAGAGGTGAGCGCTGACCACAAGTCCTGTACATAACTCCCCTAGACATAAACTAGCAGTTAACACTTGCAGTGCAGGGATAGCCCCACTACAAGGCTTTAAAGTTAAATGCTATTGCAATTTAAAATATCCAATAGCAGGCTGACTATTGTTACAAGTGTCCATTCCTTTTCCACTTGATGAAACTGTTTGCTTTTGGTGATGTATCTCAGTGTCAGCTGTCCATGCTCCTTATGTGTTTAATAATGCCCTCACCAGACGTACACAGAAGTTTTCCCTCTCAATGAAAGGGACAGAAAGAAAGGGAAAGAAGAGAGTTCTGTGTGAAGGCAAGATGTACAGCTTCTCTCCTCTCCTCCCACGTGAGCACACTGAACGGACATTCTCTTCTTTCATTGAGAGTGAAAACTGCAGTGTACGTCGGGTGAATGCATTACACATAAGGAGCACGGACATCTGACACTTTGTGATATATCAAAAAAAGCAAACAGCTTCATCAAGGTGAAAAAGAGGGGACACGGAGCAGCAGCAGCTACGGTACAGGGGGGCAGCAGGGGATTTCACAGCCAGAGTTTCTTCTCCCCTCTCGTGCTGGCTACAGCAGTCTGTGAAAGGAACACAGACTGCTGCAGCCAGCACCAGCAGGGAGAAAAGACTGTCCACACAGAACACTTACCGCTCGCCATGCTGTCACACTTCCGTCCGGAGAGGTCAGAGCGGAGAGGGAGCCTGCGTTTGGTGGAGAGGTATTCCGGGGGAGGGGCCATGGGGGTCAACCACTGTACCACCATAAGGTGATTTTCATTTAATATATTGCCGCCTCGGCGATATATTAATGGGATCAGGGCACCTCCCAGGAGATGCAGATCACACTGATCCTCCACTGGACCACCATATGGTGATTTTCATTTAATATATTGCCGCCTCCCTAGGTGCGAACTCAGTGTGTGCGGGCCCCGGCAACCCACACCTAGTCTTGCGTGCCACCAGAGGGGCCTCTGCGTGCTCTCTGTGGCACACGTGCCATAGGTTCGCCATCAATGGTCTAGGGGATGGATCAAAGCAGATTTACTCAGATGATTTACCCCACTTCTGCTGGCTCCCTAGCCCTGCTAGTCTCTGCAGTCTCTTCTCCCCTGGGCTCCAACAATCTAATGACAGCTGACATCATCACATTCAATGCAGGTTCCATAGACCTGCATTAGACATGAGGACGGCAAGGGATCTTCCACAAGCCAGAGGGGAAGGGGAGCCCAATGGGAACCAGGTAAGTAAATCTGCTTTACTTCACCACTAAACTCTTGCAGTGTGGAGGTAGCACCATTGCAAGGGTACTTTTTTTTTTTTTCCTGGAGATGGGCTTTAATTAGACTTTGTCACTGAGTGAAGTAGGGCAAAATTCTGCAGGTATGAAGTTCAGGCACCTCTATATACCGCAAGCGGCCTCCAAAACATTTCCTTCATGGCTAAATCTCAGGCCGTTCTGACAGGCAGAGCTTTGAAACTTCCAAATAGTGTCACAGTTTGTACATTCTTATTTGGCAATGAGACTGCCAACCATAGTAATGGGCCAGCAAGAATGTGGCAAACTTACCAGCAAGCTCCAACACTTGCGGAAAGTGTTGGAGCTTTGCCTGTCAGAACAGCCCAGTATGTTGCTGAGACAGGAAGGCCCAGGAGGCTTCTGCAGTCACGTGTAGGCACTTCTGGATGTCTGCAATTCATACTTGCAAGAGTGTAATTCCCTTGGTACTGTGACAGAGTTAGTTTAATTATCTCAGACTAGGGCAGGGCTGTGACATAACCCTGCTGCGGTCTGCTCAGAATTGTAATGAAGCACAATTTTCTTAACTGTCTTTCCTTCTATAATAATAATTCACTTCATATGGGAGGGTGTGTCATAAGCAAGCTTGATCACACATACAAAAGCATTTACTCATCATTTTAATAGCTTGTGTTTGCAGTTTTTTTTTAAATAGTTTTTCAAAGTGCAAGTATATGCACACAGGGGAAATACATGTACTAACTGCCTTACCTTCCAAAAGATGTTGTTCTGTTCTGTTCAGTCAGGTTCCCAATCAAGACAGTGTACCAGGTCCCGGCCTTTTTCTTTTCTCCACTTTAGTCACAGTACTACAGCTTGTTCTAGGTTGTGATTGCATAGTGAAAAAACAACAGGTCTTTTTTGAGGACATCTCTGTACTCTCTCTCCTCCAACCAGCAAGCTTCAGTTGTTGGGTTCATAGCACTGTGCAATGCAGGGCAGCCTAAATGGTTCCCATAGCATCTATTCTGTCTTTAAAATAGAGATAGGAAGGCTGCTAGGTTGCTGAGTCACTGCTGTGTGAGCTAAGCTGCTGAGAGAATAACTTGAACTTAGAATGAATTGCTCCACAGTATCTGCAGCTATAGATAAGGCTTGTTTTAAAGCTCATTTACTATTTGTTAAGAATATGTGAACACTTTATTGTCCGTAGCCTAGCCACACGTTCACTTGAAAGTGGGTTTAGTTTGCCACGTTAATTACTATAAAAGTCAATCTATACTGCACTCTATAACAATACAGTAAATTCGCAGTTATCCAGCACCCGTGGGGATCAGTAACTGCCGGAGGATAACTAGATTTTGGTTGCTTGAGAGTTAATAGTTAGGCCCCACTCACACCTGCGCTTTCCATGAACGTGCACGTTCACGGAAACGTAGCATAACGTGCAACACGCTGCAGCGCCATTCATTTCTAACGGCACCCCAAAAGCAGCCAACAAGATGCACATTTGTGCTCCGTGTTTGCGCAAGTGAAAACTCTCCCAGATGCAAAAGCAAAAAAAGTGTGTTATTTGCTTGAGAGTGCCAATTGCTTGAATGCCGGATAATAGGGAGATTACTATATGACAACAATAAACGTGCCTTTAAAAACTTTGTGATAACGCCGGAATATTGTGCTTACACTGAACCCTGATAACCGCATGCTGTAGGATTATAGGATGATCACTTCATAACAAGCATGTGAGTGTTTAGAAATGTCCGCCTCTTTTACACATGTTATTTGACCTCTATAAAACTTGATTGTATGTTAAATGAAATAAATATATGACATGTAACAAAAGTATTTTATTATGTACTAGGAAGTGTGATTGTTCACCACGATAATAGGTTTTGTTTTGATTTTTTTCTTTTTCAGTAACCTGTACAGTTATGCAAAAACGAGGCGGTGGTCTTCACTCAGCAACCTCCTCCTTCTGGGATAACACCACTGATGGTAATTGTTATGTAGAAAAAAAATAGAAGGCTTTGGGTAGATAATCCAGCTTTATTAGGTTTATTGATTTGAACATGGTGGTGTTCAAAAATTCAGAGTTTAATGTCGCGGTTCATTTAACCTCCTGAATTCTATACTCCTGGCAGATGGGTTATATGTGGAGCCTTATAGCGTAATGCATAACATCCATAACAGCATGTTATCTCCAGTTTCTTTTTTAACATCATTTTAACAAATGCAGACTGCAATGTTCCTTTGCGCTAATCTGCGGTTAGGGTAGCTCTACCTAAGTTTGCTCCTGTGATAGACTACAATCTCAGTGCAAATGAGTAAACTGATTGTGAGATTGTAGACCATGAACAATAAAAATCACCAGCACTCCGTAAAGGAAATTCAAAAAAAGTCAATTTATTTGGACTAAACGTCACACATATCGCATAATCCAACGTTTCGGGACCACACAGGGTCCCTTCATCAGGGCAGAGATGTGAGATTGCTCACATCTCGGCGCCATCCGTGATTGTCACTGCGAGCACCACTATTTTCACTTGGACCGGAAGCGCTGTAAGGAGTGCAGGGGGACCTACTGTTTTCTGAGATTGCAGACCATCACGGGAGCGAGCTTGGAGCGGTGGTTACATTTTCAACACACAAAGCGACCATGGGGAACAAAAGTAACCACCCTCCAGAAGGAAGGACAGTTTTGGCACCAATTCCTGAGGATCTACAGATAACTTGAGGATCGACAGCCGAGTGATACACAAACAAGATACATTGGTAATAGTTAAAGTACAGTGGTACCTTGGTTCACGAACTTAATTGGTTCCACGATTCTGGCCGCGAAACAAATTAATTGCAGACCGAATCAAATTTCCGCATAAGGTTCAATGTAAATTAAGTTAATCTGCTCTGACCCATACGAACGTGGTCGCAAACCAATTTTGGTCGCAAACAGAATCAAATTTTCCCATAAGGTTCAATGTAAATAAGGTTAATCCGTTCTGAACCATATGCAAATTTTTTTTAACCACAAAAATATGAAACAGTACAGTACAGTATGAAGAGAGTGAACACTAACCTTTGCACTTTCTTTGGAGCCATGCTGGATTGAATAATACTGCACAGTACTGTATGTGCTAAAAAGCACACAAAAAAGCTTCACAGCAAGTGTGCACAGGTTTGTCTGCGACCGCGATCTCGACTAGAGGTCCTGATTTGGATTTCGCGAACGGAAGCAAAATGTTGCCAAACTTCCTGTTCGCGAACAGAAGCGTTCATGAACCGAGGTATTACTGTACTTGAATGCATTTTTAAGATTTAACTCCTGAGTTTAGTGTCACTTTATCTTCCCAACACGTAACGTTGTAGGGTTTGGGTTTAACCTCTAAACATTGAACTAAACTACCCCCAGACCAGTAATACGACCTGATCCTTGAAATTTTTTTAAACCCTGATGTATACTTACCTTATCCTGACCTTGTCAGCACTGAGACATAACAACTCACATTGCTAAAATGATCCAGCTGAGAGATGTGTCTGCTGAAAGCTAATATGAGTGAAATGCAATGTCAAAAATATCAGATTTTTTACAGGTATGGGATCATACACGCACATACTGTATTTTTAAATGCTGTAAATGCAAAGTTTAGATATAGTTATCTTACATTTTATATTAATGTGTATGTACAGTATATTGAAAAGATTTTTTTAAGTTTTGAGTAGACTATGGAAGGCTCAAAACTGCCAGTGTAATTTTTGGTGTTTGTTTACCATTGGGGACATTTCTGTTCACCTCCTGACCCAGAGGCCCAATATGAAGTTGGAGGAAATTTCCAAGGTGAGAGGAATTCCCTCCTTGGACAGTTGTCCCCACCTGTAAGTCACCTCATGTTCTAGGAACAATTCTAAAAGTTTGGATTTCCTCTTACTTTCTTTCTAGATGACAGTAGTATAAATAGAGGAACGAGTCTCCCCAAAAGCAACAAGAGTTTTTCCAGCTTTATCCAAAACTTTAATAAAAGGTTCTGCCTAGTGATATATACGTTATAGTTAGTTGTCATTGTATGTTTGTTTCTGTTTTATATGAATCTTTTTTGTTATCTTGTTTTCAGGGAGTTGCACAGTGAGGTGGGAAAATCGGACCATGTATTGCATCGTGAATGTATTTGCTGTTGCTATACAACTGTAACCGATTGCAGGAAAATGTTGTACTCTTTTGCACGCTTCTAATGCTTAAAAAAACAGGAACGAGGACTCTTACAAGGATATCCAATAATCTGTATTACCAAACCTCAGCAGCTTAGCTGTCTATTTTAAAGGCAGAATAAAGCAGAATTGAAACTGTACACCTGAAATGTAAGTCTGGTAGAAAGGAGACACGGCCTTTCCCTGCCATATAATCTATCATTGATATTTTGAAAACTGTTTTATGATAATAATAATACTCATCCTCAGGAATACAAATGAGAAACTTAAAGGGTCCCAGAAACCCATTGGACTGGTTTTTAAAAAATAGCAGAGCTGTTGCCTGTGGTAACCAATCAATTATTAGCTGTAATTTATCCAATACTAGAAACCTATGCAGCTGGACAAGAGGGCTCATCAATCAATGCTGCTACCTGGAAGTAGATGGGAAGCCATGTGAAAGGCTTTTGGCGTAAGTGGTGGAAGGGGAACCATACTGAATGTCATTGGGTTTGGTGCATAGAATGTATTTGTGTGTGCAGAGCAAGTTAGTAGCGAGTTCCCAACATAGATGGGCTCTTGGCTGGAGGCACATGTCCACCGGGGCTGTGAACTGGTCTTTGTAATTAGACAATACAATAGGTCTTATCTATGTCTCTAGTGCAGTGTGTTTATTAAATCATCCCGCTTGTAGTACTTGGTCACATTCAATTGGATTTGTTCTATAATGTTGAGGACATTTCACTTCTCATCCAAGCAGCCTCTTCATTTTTAATGAATGTTAGAAACCAGCCCTTGCATTTATAGCCATGCAAAAAAACTTAGTTACCTTAATCCAAACAACATGTGTCAGTGCAGATGCTGATTGCTGGTATAAATGTTTGTGAAACCACACTGTTCTAAGTATATAATTCAGTCACAATGGTGCCATAAAGTCATAAACTTTCACAGTTCCCATTATGTTCTTGGACAATCAACATCTGTCTTGGAATATTTCATGGTGATTAGATCAAGGTGACTGAGTTACCTGTTTGGCTACAAATGCTGGGGTATGTTCTTGACACTTAGAACTGAAGAAGGTGTTTGAATGAGTAGTGAAATGTCATCAACATTACAAAACGAGTCCCGTTGTATGTGACAAGCTACTGCTAGCTGTACCTTGAGCTGGATAAACAGACTTCCTTATGGATGAATAGTTTCGCTTGCAGTGAAAATGTATCAAAAATGCATCATAGCTCTTGAAAATGTAAGTTTGAATGGGCCTTTAATGACACATCTTAATTATACAGATTTGGTTGCTAATTAGATTCAGACAGTGCCTTACCTGGATTTATATAGCTTGTATAATTCATGTGTGTCAATGACTAAAGGACTAATTAGGCAATCCTGCTTTCTACCTTAAAGAATTATTTGAATTATAGGTGCAGACTATAGGGTTGAATCACCAACTGGCTTCCTATTTCATGACATCCAACAGCAAGCTCTCCCTGCCATATTTCTCAGCTCTGACACCTGCTACAGTCATTGAAGCTAAACAAGCTAGTGTTATTTCTATTCCTGCATTCCATGTAATGTAAAATACATGAGACATTCAGTAGGCAAAGTGAGAAATCCTTCTAATACTTGCTGCAAGGAACAGAACTGGTAATTATGGTGAACATATCCTACTATAGAAGCGTTGTACCAAACAAGATGTCGGCTATTTATCTCACAACACCCATGCAAAACTCAAATACCTGTTTATAGTATACTAGCCCTTGAAGACGTGAAGGTTCTCTGGAAAGAGAGAATGAACATTTGTGGAAAGCATTGATGAACATTGAAATGGGGCTGCACTGTACAGTATTTCTTTACAGGGGCCACTCTATCACTGACCTGGCTGGATGCTATGGACAACACAACTAGTTTTACTGTCCTCCTGTTTTTATACATCTATATACATACATATATCCTTATGACCATAATCTCATACTTTATATAGAAATGCTACTTGCTCCAATTTGGGAATAAAGTCATAAACAGATACAAATGAAGCTGCTTCAGGTTTACACAATTATATTATGTCGCATGGATTATTATCACATAATCAAACGGAGACGACTGCATTTTTTTTGGTGTTCTCTGTGTCATCATTTTCATTTTATGATAACACCATGATGCTTTGCAATGCCCATTTGTTGCCTTGGATTCTTCACTGCAGAACTCATATTTGCACTGCTGTTTAACTTGAACACAAGATTTTAATGCATTTACCATAAAGTTAATTTTAAAATATATTTGCCATAAAGAGAGGAATGTTCGATGATATAATATGTATGAGTTATACGTTAATACATTAAAATATTCAAAACAAGTGTATATTGTTATGTGGTGTTATACATGAAAAAGATTTTTAAAGTGAATGAAAGAAATTGGTAGAAGTTATGAAACAAATAAAGAAGCACCACCGTGGTGTGTTGAGGTGTTGCTCTGACCTATGTACTATTGTTTAGTAGGATTGGCCATCACAGTAATAGATCAATGGTGGAACACATGAGAGGGGCCAGCTACCAGTAAGTTGGTAAATATATTTTAAAGAACTGGTCGGCAATTATTTATACATCACTGTTGGTTATGGTTGTCCTAGGATGTGTGAAAAGGGGAAGCAGTGGTGGCATTCAGACACATGTATGTGTTGTGTTGGTCTCAATTATTTTTATACAATTTTAAGCATAACCTTAAGCGTACAATGGGAAAAGAAGACAGTGGCATTGATATCTGGTCCAAAGGATTCCAGTAAAACATTTGGTTAGTTGCAGATTTTTTGTTATTTCACTTTTTGGGATTCAGGACTGAAAGTCAGTTCGTTTCGGCATTCGGATTTTGATGAATGCAAATGTTTTGCTAAAGAGCAACTTTACCCAGATCTTTAAAATAACAGTAAACACACCTTTAGAAATGTTTAGTAATGGCAATCTACAAACACATACTTCTAGATGCAGGCATTGTATTCTTTGTTTACCTTGTTTCTCTTTTCTTCCTCAGTCTTCTGACAGTGGTCATGTTTACTAAGGGCAGATTACTAGCTCTCCATTTACTTCCTGGAACTCTGGCACATGTGACTAGACATGTGACCATGCACATCATCTCAGCGGAAGAAAATGCCTTTCCCTGAGATCTCAGATTGCAGAAGAGATTTCGCAGCACTGCTCTGCTGATGTAACCTTCCCAGGATGCAATGCTTTGGCACTTACATCATTTGTGCCAGAACTGGACCAGGAAGTAGATGAGCTCTATGTGTAAGTAAATGAAAAACACAAGTTTGTTTAACTTTTAAATGTAAGGTGATTTTAAATCAGCATGCAGAGCTGCATGGGATTTTTAGTAAAATGCGGGTAAAGGTCCACTTTAAGTTCAGAAGGAGTTAAACGATAATTATGAATTAGTTGCAGAAAAGTGACGCTCACCCCTTTCCTGATCTGCCAGGCTGCTGCTCGGATGAAGGGTCTGGTAAGGGATTGTAGGGGGGACCCCATGCATTTTTATTTTGTTTTTTTGTCACTGGGGGTCTACCCTTAAATTCCTACCAGACCTATATGGTCTGGAATGAATTGGGGGGGAGCTGCACGCTGGTTTTTTGTTTTTTTTTCCTGTGGTCTGTCAACAAAAATTTCTGCATTCTGTAACCGCTCTCTGCTACTTTGTTGACATTCTGTAACTGCTCTCTGCTACTCTGTTGACATTCAGGATCATCCTGAATGTCAACAAAGAGGCAGAGAGGTGACAGAATGACACACAGCTTTGCACTCCTTTGTTCCATTCCGAATGACATTCAGGAAACATTTTGGATGCATCTGAATTTCATTATCAAACATTCAGATTCGTTATTTCTGTCATTTGGAAATTTGAATGCATCTGAACGTCAGAAATGCGCATGAATGTTAACTCAGAATCAAACGAATCGCACATGTCTATTTATGATGGTGGTATCATGCATATGTAAAACCAGTCAGGCAAATGGAAGATTCAGAATCACCTAATTATTTGATAGTGTAGCTTTACCACTCTGAGACATCTGTGGATGTTGTAATGTCAGCCCCATGCAGTGGCAGGACTACCGCCATAGCAACCCACGTGGCCGATAGGGGGCCGAGCAGATGGGGGCACTGTGAGGATGAGAACTTGTACAAATAGTTCTTCAACTCCATCACTTGTACTACAGAGCAGCTGCGGGTGATTGACCCCTCCCCTCCTTTATGTTAGTGTGAGCGGGATAGTGCTCAGCTCTTCTTGATCGACGGCAGGTGTTCATGGACGCCTACTGAACATTCCTCCTTCACATATGCAAACAGCATACTGAGGTGAGTCGGGCTGATCTACAGGCTGTGTGCTCTCCATCAAATCGGGCAGCTGCAAGGAGTAAGGTGACCTGACCTGGAGGGTGATTAATGTTGCATTGATAAGGCAGTTCAGTGTCCACTGAGTACATTGCTTGCATACAATGCATGTGTTCACTTATACAGGGAAGGGTGGTATAATTGTTAACACTGCAGCCAAGAAGCTGTATAGAAGGGGTTATATTTAAACCCACCTTTCCCCAGCTTTATTAGTAGCATTGTTATCCATTATACTTCCAGGCTTTAGTGTAGGTATGCATTGTGCACAACCCCCCCCCATTTCCAGCCTTCAGTAATTAGGCCGGTTCACATCTGAGCGATCTGAGATCTCGCGGCAATCCTGGAATCGCGCCCAAACGCAAACTGTGCTTGTGGTGCAATTCATTTCTAATGGCACCCCAATTGCAGCTAGCAATCCTCACAGTTGCGTGCCACGGTGCAATCGCGCACAGTCGCAAAAAACACAGGTTGCTCATCACACAAAAAGGTATGGCACACAACCACGTGCAGTTTCAGGACGCGTGGTCCCAGGCCACCAAGTTTTGAACCAGGCCTCAGTGGCAACGTGCCACTAATCACTTTCTGCTGGGATGGGGGAGGGCTGATTACTGCACAACACATACCTTTATTGAATTGGGGGGGTGGGGCATTTCCCATTAATTATTTTATGCTGGGGGGAGGTGCACAATGCACACCTTTAATAAATCCCAGGAAATGGGGCATAATAATTAACACTGCTGCCACCAATGAAGCTGGGGAAAGGATAAATTACACATGTAATTATACACCTTTCCCCAGCTTCATTGGAGGCAGTGTTAAAGTAGAGTGAAAGGCTATAAAATAACTCACTTTTTAAACATTGCCTCCCCACAGCTCTTATATTTGCCGCATACAATTTCTAATACATTTCAATGAAAATACTTATTTTAATCTATATTTCAAGTGGTTTCATGACCATGA